CCGATTGTGCCCCGGAGCGACAAACTTATCAATAAAGTTACAAACCGGTGACTGTGAGGGGAAATAAACAAACGCACGCACACACAGCTGTTGGACCTACCAGCCAGGTCACGTAGGGGGCGTGTGTCTGGATGTTGTGCATGTCATCCGCAGAGATTCCCGGGAACGTTTTCATCGGCGAGCTGCCGACCTCTCGCAGCGCCATCGCAAACGGCACCATCCACCTCACGCACTCCTCCACCTCCACCCTCTTCAGAGCTGCACGGACAGAAGGAGGAGGAGGTGAGTCGGGGTGGAGTCACACCAGCAGGGACAAACAGGAAGTGTGGAAAATGAATTTTACCTGACACGGTCTCCACCAGCTCCAGGGACGAGAAGTGAAAGAGCGCCGAAGCAGCGAGAACGCCGTTAGAAAACTCGAGGCAGCGCACGTCCAGCATGCACAGGTCCAACAACTGAAAGCAGACGCACCATCAGAGACACTCGGCGGGAGACAGACGGTCCCACCTCAGCGAGAGACGCTCGTCTCCGAGCACATCGGCACAATTCATTTATGGTAACAGACGGCGTACCTCTGCGATGTGCGTGAAGGTGGCCTGCGGGTATCTGGGGAGGAGGAGCTCGTCCGCGTCCTTCAGGTAAGCCACCTGCATGTAAACATTGAGCCAGGACACGGGAGTCTGTGGGCTCAGGCTCCACTTCAGCTCCTAGAGAGAAGACGAGTCCACGTTAGACACCCAAATCTCCCATCTGACGCAGGTTTAAGGGCTGCGATGACAGAATGACATCACGAAATGATGCGTTCACAGCTTTGGCCGTTTGCTGGTTGTTGAATAGTTTTGTGAGCTTTAACCTGAGATTGTGTTGTTTCTGACGAAATACATTTATATTCAAAATAGATCCAGGATTTAAGGAATCGAGATCACTTGATTCAAACTAAAATTGATTTTTTTTTAAACACAATGAGCATCATTAAACTGCTCAGATGGCTCCGCCCCTTCCTGAGCCCGGTTCTCCTGGAGGTTTCTTCCTGTTTTTCCTTCCCACTGTCACCAGGTGCTGGCTCATAGAGGACCGTTAAAGCACCTTTGACGCTGCATAAATCAAGCTGAATTAAATGGACCAAACAGTGAAATTGTCACCGAGTCTTCAGCTGAGAAACCAAAGGAAACCTGATGACGCCACAGAGGCCGTGTCTCACAGGTGAGGACACAGGTGTGCTCAGAGGTCGGTTAAGGCCGAGGCAGGTCGTGCGTTTTACCTTCATGACGATGATCTCCATGCTGAGGATCTCGTCTTCTGTGCAGGCCTCGTCTGTCACGTAGGCAAACTGGTGGACTTTGGGAGGATACATCTCCTGGGAGAGAAACATTTAAAGATAAGAAACGCAGCAGACACGCCGCAACAAAGCACCCGCACAGTACCGAAGAGCTCCGCCCTCCCCACCTCGACTTTGGCGGCAATGAACAGGCAGGTGATGCCGATGAGCTGCAGCGTGGATTTGAGGACGTTCCTCTGGGTGGCCATGAAGCGATCAAAGTAGTCCTGAGCGAGGTGGTACGTCTCCCTGTGCAGCCTATAGACCTCGCTCACCTGACACACACACACACACACACACACACACACACACACACACACACACCTTGAGTACATTAAGGTGACTGCATCTTTACTGTTTATTCTTAGATGAATGATTTCATGGTTTCCGGGACGCCGAGCTGCGTCTGCCGTGGATCGTCCACAGTAAAACCTGCAGCCTGAAGCTAAAGGTTAGCGTAAAGCTAAAATCTCACGTATAGACACACCTGAGATCAGGTGGTGCTGCAGGTTCACAGACTCAGTACTGACCTCCATGAGCCAGTCCAGGAGGATGGCCCTCATCTTGGGCTGCAGGTGTGGATGTTTGTCCATCATGTGGACGTCTCTGGTGTAGGACTTGTCCTTCTCCAGCATGTTGTTCCACACGGCGTCCTTACTGGCCCAGCTGACAGACACAGAGTCAAACAGATCGCTGACACGGGACAGGTACAGGTGACAGATTAAAGGAAAACACCCCCGACCACTGAGGGCTGAGCAGCCATCAGCACCACTCACCAGAGCGCGGGCAGTGGCGCGTGGTGCACGGGTGTCACACATGTGGTGTGGAAGCTGTAATGAGGAAAGCTGGCGTTGACCAGGGGGACGAGCGGGCACTCCTCCTGATCAGGCGTGGAGATCCACCTCTGCGGACTCACGCGATCAGCTGCAGGACTCCAGCCCGGCTGGGAGACAGGAAGAGCTCGGTTAGAGTCGAAGAAGGGTGGAGGAGGAACACACGCCTCCAAGACTGTGGGCGTGGAGTCGCTGCAGGTAATTAGACCCACCTCACACTCGCGCTGCTTCTTCTTCGTCATCTCTGCTACCTCCTCATCCAGATCCGGTAAAACCTGAGGAACAAACAGAAAAGAAGGAACCCTGGAGTTATCGTTCTCATGCTTTTGTTATTTGGAGGCGCCCCTCCTGTGGACCGCGCTTGGTGTCAGGTGATCAGCCTTCAAATCGTCTTCCTGGCAAAGCTAATAAGTTAGGGCTGGATCAGGTGACCGCTGACCTTCGGGCTGCAGTTACAAAAAACCTGCGCCTCCGTGCTGTTCACCATCTCCCCTCAGATGAAGGCCCATTGCTTCTGTCAGCTCTCCTCACTGTGGCTCTAATATGATGTCCAACATTGTTGGAACCCTGCGTGACCCTCTTTGTGACAAAACACATCAATGACCCACCCCAGCAGAGTGTGTGTGTGGGGGGGCCCTGCTGGAGCCTCTGCCAGCCTTTCAGGACACTCACAATAGCAACATCTGCCTTCCTCTTCCTCGGTCGGACTGTGGTGTGTTTGGGGGCCTCGGCAGGAGCACTCTTCGCTTCTGTGTCTTCCCTGAAACAAGCAAAGCAAACAGCAGCTGTTAGCGAGCGCTGCCATATCCACAATCAGCCGAACAAACCCGGGTTAGCACGGGTAAACGCTCACACGGTCCAGAAACAACAGGCTAGTTAGCCCGTGAGGCTAAAGCTCCTGGTGGCTCTTCCTGCGTGGGCCAAACTCACCGTGTTCCTCTCATTATAGTCGGGGCCGTGGAAGCGTCCGTGGGAGCAAACCTGTGGACGACAAACGACTTGAAATTTAGACTTAAACAGCCGTAAAAGTGCGACGTACAGCGGCCCCAACCCCCACTCCGAGCCGCCTTCCTCCCGACAAAGCCCGGCTCAGCCTGGCGCGGAGAGCGGGGCAGCAGGCCGCTTCCAAGTGCCCCCAAAGCCCCCCCACCGGACCTCGGAGACCCGGGAAACTGCCCCGACATCCACGCCACACCGAGCAAGGTTGGTCTGAGGCGGCCACGGGGCTCGGTTAACCGAAAACAGCGATATTTTACCGAGTCCGGCTGCACATCATGGCCGCCTGATGCGGACACGGAGCGGCCAACAAAGAGCCGAACCCCCGGGGGCTGTCCACGTCTGGACCGGAGACCGTGGGGGTTTAACGTGGGAGCCTGGGTCACATTACGCTGCAGGCAATCAAGCCCCAATTCTACTCACGCAAACTTTTAGCCAGCTGCAGAAACTCACCTCAAGTTCCTCCCTTGAAGTTCACCCTGCTCCGCCGAGAGCTCCAAAAGAAGGTTTAACCCCGCAGTGGGTTCCCCTCGGGTTCTCCAAGTGTGTTCTCCAGGTGTGTGCTCTCTGTCCTCCGGTGCTCTCCTGCTCGCGGTGCCCGGGATTCTGAGCTTAGGCCGGGCTAACTGCTCCGAGCTGGCGCCTCGCAGAGCGCAGATGAGCTCCACGTCAGGAGGCGTAGATTCCAGTTGGCGCTAAATCTCCACCCTCTGCGCCGCTTTACAGCCGCATTGAGCTGCGTCACCTCAGCCGCTCACCTGTGCAGGGCACGCGGCAGGTATGCTGGCTGAACTCTACGCGGATGGTCGCGAGCGTGAAGGAAACGGTGAGTTTTTAGTTTTGCCGGTAAAAATGGGGGCGTGAGTGCCGCGCTGACAGCTGCGAGGGGCGGATCTTCGCAGACCGGAAGCGCTCGGGCACCGCGTGGCTGTGTGTCAGATGTAAACAAAGGCAGAAGCGGCGCAGAAAGACGCGGAAAACGACGCAAAGCGGGCAGAATGACGCAGCAAGTGAGCGAGCGGGTTCCGTGCGCGTTACCTTCAGTGTCTGTCACGGGACCGGGTTGTGATTCAGCGGGAAAATGAAGCGTATCGCCTCCCACATGTCCACTGCGGGCTGCCGTACTCGCCCCGCCTCCGACCGTAACGGAGTGACCCGCTCAGCCGCCTCCGGACTCCTCCCCGGGCTCCCAACTTCACCATTAAATCTGATAAAGTGGCAGGAGGCGAACCAACCTTTGACGTCAGCAAATCTGTGGCTGCTGGTCACGTGATCACATGACAGCGTCCTCACACGGTTGTTGCTGCAGGCTGAATATGATAATTCATTAGGCCGTGGTTTTAATAACCAGCTTATACAGGAAATGCAATAACGTCACATCGGTACCATCCTTCCTCCTGCTGCTGAGACATGACCTGTAACAGAGCTCAGCATCTGCATTTACAAACACAGCAGCACAGGTCAGGACAGTGGAGACTTCCACGATGATCCCTCTGAGCTGTGGGAAGCACCGAGGCTTCCTCGTGATTTACAGACAGCTCTGATCACGGGAGGAGAAATGGAGCAGGAGTAATCCTGAAGGAGGAGCCTGAGCAGTGCTGTGGAGGTGAGGAGTAACAGGCAAGATCACCAGTATGAAGCGTGAGGTCGAAGGGTGTCAGTGTGTACGCCCCACAGGGTGGAGGTCAGAGGGGTGGAGGAAGGTACAGAAGGTGTGATCTGAGCGAGATATGAGACTGAGGTGGTGTCAGGGAGGATGTAGCTGGACAGTATCGGATGGTTGACTGCAGGGTGACTTTGGACATCAAGAAGAGCAAGTGAGTGAAGGAAGGATGCTGGGAAAGTAAAGCTGAGGGAAACTGCAGGGAGTGTCCTCTGGACAAAGGAAGGAGGACAAGGAGGCTTGGTGTGGACCCAAAGCAATGAACGGTGCACTAGAGAGGTGAAGAAGGCAGGGCGGAGCGGGTGGAGATGAATGTCAGGGGTGATTCGTGACGGAAGGGTAGCAGCACGAGACAAAGGGAAGGTTCAAAGACAGCAGTGAGCTCTGCTGTTTGGAGATGGCAGAGGATGAGCTGAAGATGTTCAGACGTTCACTGGGAGTGAGAAGGAGGAGTCCATCAGAGGAGCAGCTGAGAGTCAGAGAGGATGAGATGGTTTGAGCATGTGCAGAGGAGGGAGGGTGATGGAGCTGCCAGGCGCAGAACGACTGCTTTGAGTTTCCTGCGGTCGGCACGGAGCTTCGAGGTTTGCTGCTATATGAAGAATAGAAGTTTTAATAAGTGGGTGAAAGTGGAGGAAGGTGAGTCTGAGAGGAAACCCAGAGCCAGGTGAGTGCAGACAAACATTAATGGTTAAACTTCAGCTTCCTCAGAGAGCGTAAAAGTTAAATAGATGAGACACGTCCTGCTGGCCCTGATTTACAGCCAGGAAACTTGTTCCAGAGATGATTGTGTTCGTGTCTTCGGTGAAGCTGAAATACTCTTTTTGTTTGGTGAACAGAACAAAGTCGACCTTTGGTCAGTCACATGACCCCCTCCTGAGAACGACACAAACAGGTTTCATTCTGTGGCGTCTGCACAGAAAGGGAAGGATGAAGTTTTTGGAGCTGTTTGGGCGTCTAAAATCCGTCGTTATCGGAATGATTCACGTGAAAGCGTTGCCAGGTAACAGAGTCCACCTGTCGGCGTCCTCCAGGTTCAGGTGAAGTGTTTGGTCGTGGCAGGGGGAGGTCAGTAAGAGCACAGAGGTTTGCAAAATGTGGTTTCAGGGTGAGCTGGCGTCCAGCTTCGCGTGGGCCTGTGCGTCATCAGGTTAAGACAACATCGCACATTCTGATTGGCTCAGATTTAGCTGATATGTGACATTTTCCTGCGTACGCTGCGCTCAGACATGAACTTGATTAAGTCAGACGTGTAACATTTCAGCCTCGCACACCGGTGTGGTCGCCCTGTGACGGGGCAGTTAAACTTTATTTAACCAGGACAATGTGAGTCGAGATCAAACATCCCTTTTGCAGGCTGAGACTCGCAGCAGTACGATCGACCTTAACTTCATACGAAGATACACGGCAACAAAATACACAATAAGTACATCGATGCAGACGATGACCCACCCTGAACCCTGAACCTCGGCCCCGTTCTCCTGTCCAAACAAGGCCTGCTCTCACTTTTTCTGCTGTCATGACCTTTGACCTTTCACACACTAACACACACTTTCTGCACGCTCTGACCTTGGGGTAAACTTGCTGGGACGTCCACTCGTAGGAATATTTTGGGATTGTGTTAACAGACCTGAACACGGTCGCCCTGCAAACAGACCAAAGCTCTGCTTTTACAGAGGCGCTCACACCGCTGATGATCAGTTAGTCAATAACCTGCATCGATTAGCAGCAGCTGATAGTTTCTCACACGCTGCGTTTTGGTTTAGTGTTGAATAAATAATGACACGCTGTAAATATGCGGTGTTTTGTTGTTCGTCCAGGTGATCATGGTTGTGTCCTGATGTGTCACCAGGTGTACTCGTGACTTTGAGTAGGAGGAGCTGCAGAGAAAAACATCACAGTTTGCGCTCGTATTCTTGTACATGCATGATGTGCACATCGGTGCCCACATCCTTAAGTGTTGAGGGTACTCTTTGAGACCCTTTATAACAGGCTCCTCCTCTTCCTCAGGTAGCCCACTGGGCTCTTTGAAAATGTCTGAAATCAGCGAGGCGGCGTGCCGGGAGGCAGCGATCTACAGAGACGCAGGGGTTGTACGTTTGTGCACGTTGTTTGCGTTCCTCACAGCTCTGCAGTCTGCACAGGCGAGGCGCTAACCGAACCTCCAATCCCGTCTTTCAGGATGGACTGATCGTTGAAAACATGCACGATGTGCCGTACTCTCTGAGCGCGGGCCCCGAGGTGAGCGCCTGCATGACCGCCATCTGCTGCAGCGTTAGGGCCGCCTGTCCGTCCCTGCCTATAGGAGCGCAGATCCTGACTGCAGCCAATCAGCAGGCTCTGGCTGTGGCTCTGGCTTCAGGTTCAGTTGTTCATTCAGTTCATGTTGATGTGTTTGGAAAGATGCAGGACGTGTGATCAGCACGGTGACGGCGCTGTGTGCTTCCAGGCCTGGACTTCATCAGGGCTGAGGCCTTCGTCTTTGCTCACGTGGCAGACGAAGGCCTCCTGAACGCCGGCGCCGGGGAGTTACTGCGGTACCGCAAACAGATCGGAGCTGAGCACGTGCAGATCTTCACCGACATCAAGAAGAAGCACAGGTGAGGTCACCTGCTGTGCAGTTATAGTAAAGAATGAAGTACTCAGTGATGCAAGAAGACGTGAAAACACTTCCTGTGTCTGAGTACAGCTGCAGATAATCAGGATGAGCGGCCGGCCAACAGTCATTCATGCCTGTCACAGCTGAGCTTTCAGCACTGGGACGTGAATGGGGCCAGCCTGGGCGAGAGAGGTGTTAAAATGTGTGTCAGCACTTTGGCGAGCTCTTAGGCCGTCCTGGATGTTGCCTGGACCTGCGGCTTTCATGTTGATGGTCCCCTGTGGTGTCCTTCTGGTGGCTACTGCAGACACACTGAAGGGCAGCTCACCTGCTGCTGTGGGAGGAGCATCCACCCCACTGAGCAGCAAATCATGAAACTTTCACACACCTCACACAAGGTTTGATTTCTATTACAGTGCAAACCACTTATCATCTCCAGTGTGTAACATCCACACATGCCTCTGTGTGTGTGTGTGTGTGTGTTTCCAGCTCTCACGCCCTGACGTCAGACGTGAGCGTCGCAGAGACGGCGCGTGCTGCTGAGTTCTTCCTCTCAGACGGCGTCATCATCACAGGAGCAGCCACAGGACTGCAGGCCGACCCCGAGGAGCTCCGAGGTCCCGCCCCTGCCGCGCACACGCACACTCTGTCCAGATGTTAGCCTGACTCTCGTCACTCACTGCATTTTATCACTTCATCGTCTACAATCAGAATCCTAGCAGCTTCTCGTCACTGCTGAGATTAACGCTGCAGAATATAAAAAGGAGACATTACAAGGATTTTTGTTTTGAAATTAAAATCTGAAGTTAAAATCTCAGGTCAGGTGACTCCTGTTAGAGCTGCAGAAAGGATTCACCTGCATGCAGCACAGAAACAGCTGATTGGCTCTGCAGGGTTCAGGTGTGTCTTCATCAGCTGTGCTGCGTGGGCGGATGCACACTTCACTTTATTCTCAGAACAGTATTTCACAACATATCAGACATTTTTTTAAGCCCCCTCACCTCAGGTCCTCCTGCTTTTACCCCGTTTGTCCAGAAGAGGTCCCCCTCACCCCGAGGGAGAGAGGGCCGCGGGTCGCACTCGAACCACTGAGCTAAACCGGCGCCCAAAGAGTCTGAATTTTAAATGTCACACTCACAGCAGGGGGTCAAGCCCACCTGAGCTGTTTGTGGGAGGTAAATCCACTCGTTTTTCCCTCTGTGTCTTTAAGTGATCAGAGTAGAAAAGAACCAGTCCATTTCCTATCGAAAGCTTAGAAATGAAAGTCATGGCTCCACCGACATTCACTGAGATAAACCCAGAGCTATACCTGCCCTCAGGTGTTACTGATGAGTGCCGTGTTTTTGTGCTTCCTCATCTGTAGGTCCATTTCCTGTTTAAAACATTTAAGCAATCAGCGTTGAGGTGCTGCTCTGCAGCTTCATGCAGCTTCATGCACAGGACCATAAATCCTGCAGTAATCAGTCAGTAAGGTTTGCATCAGCTCAGGTTACTGAGTCTGAACTCTGCACCGCATCCTCGCAGCAGCAGCCAGGATATTTATAGCAGCCGGACACTCAAGCCTGTAAACAGTCTGAGGGCTGTACATGCCACTGCTGCGCGCGCGCGCACACACACACACACACACACACACACACACACACAGGTGCTGGTCATGTTCAGACACATTCACCAGGTCACGCGTGTGAGCGGAGGTTCACTGAGTGCAGCTCTGCAGGTGGTGAAGGCGTCTGAAGCGTATTTTCTATTCTGTCACACTCTAATGTGTCAGTCTTATATCTGCCACACCCCTCTGCGCACAGGCAGGAGACTCTGGCAGGTCAGAGAGGGCACGCCTCAGGTGAGCAAAGTCATTATGAAGCCAGAGAATATGCATGCAGTGAGCCTGTTTGCACACACACTGTCCTGCACCGACCCAAAGGTCCTGCGCAGCATGCAGTCAGATACCTTTGAGCTCCAAGGAGTTAGCACTCGGTGATGATGTTTATATAGCAGAGGCTGCTCCAGGCGAGATAAACAAACCACGCATGCTAGCAGCGGCTGCGTTTTAGTTAGCAATGCTTCAACCCAAGGTCCAAACAGCTGACAGTAAACGAGGCAAACGTATCAGAGACACGGCCCAAAGACCAGGTCCCAACACGGAGCCAGGAAAACACTCGGACTGTGTCAGGGAACAGAAGGATCATCAGAGTGGGAACAGGTGAGACTAATCAGGGTGGGTCACATATCGACTGAGAGGCAGGAAGTAGCACCACAGCAGCCCTCACCCCGACGCCTCTCTGTGCTGAGTCCAGCCTGCAGTGCGTTTAGTAGCGATCTACTAGATTCCTTTGTAATATTCAGAGGTTTAAATGAAATCTAAATGATTTAATTCAAATTCTAAACCTCGTTGCTCACAGCCTCAGGTGGACTTCAGGGTTTGTAAGTCTGGAGGGTTGAGATGCGTTCGTGTGCTGCTGGACGGTGGGAAACGAAGCTTTCGACTGCTGACGTGTTCTTAAATAGAAATTCATTAAAGTGATTTTTTCTGTTTTTCCAGACGTTTCCCAGTCTGTGGGAATCCCCGTGCTGATTGGCTCAGGAGTGACCTATGACAATGTCGAGAGCTACCTGGATGCAAACGCGATGATAGTGGGCTCCCACTTTAAGCTGGGCGGGCACTGGGCCAACGAGGTGGACCCGCAGCAGGTGAAGAGGTTCATGGGGAAAATCCGGAAGCTCCGGCAGTGAACGAGCCCCCACCATAAAGACACGCAGACCGCAGCTTTAGAAAATCTCAAAAACTTTATTTTGCTTTTTTAAAACATTTTATAAATACACACAAATAAAAATTAAAATCTCACATTTGTGTCAAATAAAAAGTAGAAAAGCAGCAGGAACGCTGCAAAGGTCAAGAGGTCAACTCATCACACACTTTAACACGCAGAAGAAGAAGAGCGAAGCCGCCAAAATGACAGATTTGAACACGGCGACAGAGCACGAAGCTCTGACATCATCAACATTAATCTGAGCAGTGACTGTTCTGCCGCGCGGCGCTCGCCCTGCTGACAATAAAGTTTACAGAAGAATGAAAAACGTGTGGTTCTTTCAGCTGTTTGATTACTGCACAGGAAGTGGTGAATGTCACGTGATGTAACGGCGAGGTGAAGCCTGAGCGGCGCCGATATTGGAGTCAGTAGTTGTAGAGACGCTGGCAGGGCTGCTTGAAGTGTCCGTAGCGCCGCTCTGCAGGGCAGAAGCGTGTCTTGGTGAGGTTCTGCCTGTGAAGGGCGCCGCGGCTCAGCTTCCTGCCTTCAGCACGGCTCCTGGCACGCTGCGCCGCCGGCAGCTGGATGTTGTACGGCAGAGGAAGCCCCCAGGCGGCGAGACGCCAGGATACATGCCGCCTTACCGCCACAGGCCTGGAGAGACACACAGGAAGCCACATTATAAACCACGCCCACCTGCTCTGCTGTCTTCTTCTGTGTTTGTAAAACTGGTTTCAGATTATCTGAATGAAAGCATCGTCAGCATCATAACCTTGAGGTTTCCTCTTCATCAGAGCCCGGCTCCTCCTCCTCGGCTCCACCCACCCCGCGTCTCATCTGGTAGACGGACATGCTCGGGTGTTCAATCAGCAGGTTCTCGAGGAGGTCCCCGTCTGGAGCCGACAGAAGCCCGTCCTCTGCATGAGGACCAGAGATGTTTAGAAGCATCGGCGCTGCAGCGTGTACACCTGAAGCAGGTTGACTTTCTCACCTGGCAGGGTAACGATGACCCAGCCCTCGTCCTCGAACTCCCGCAGCGTCTCGTGTTCTTCTCCTGCTGACTCCTGGTCCTCGCTGGCATTCCCGATAAGCTGAGCAAGAATCTTTCCGATCATCCCGACGTTTCTGACAGCACCTGTGGATAAAGAGCAGCACACAGGTGAGATCATCACAGGTAAAAAGCTTCCCTCATGACGCCGAGGCCTCAGAAACCTGAGCAGCTTGACCCCAGGTGATGTTCCACAAAGACAGGAAGCCGGGTCGTGACCTTTCACCTCCTGTTTCCACATTACTGCTCAACTGCAGTTTATAAGATCTTAAAATAATAAAACTTTATTTTCTATTAAACTGAGAACCGTTGTTCCTGTGCGTTTGTCCTGCTCACATGTTGACTGCAGCTCCGCTTCATCACGTGACCCTCAGCTTCATCGTGTTTACAGAAACATCTGCGCGTGAAACACAACAGAAGTGCACGCACTCACTAACAGACACGCGCCTCTGTGCGTGCGTGAGAAACAGACCTCGGCAGGACTCCGTGTACCTCCAGCTGGAACAAGCACCCTGCCCGTGCTCAGGTACGGCGGAACAGAGACTCTAACACTAACCGCGTGCAGGTCAAAGGTCACGCGTGGGTGTAACTAAAGATTCAGACCCACCTGCTCCGATAAGTCGATGTTTTCGCTGCTTTGAAGCTTCCGGTTCTCTCTGTGCTTGTTTTCATCCACAGGTTGTTTATCTCACACAGGCTCCTCCCCCGCTGCCTCAAACGTCACCAAAATCCACCCAATCAGGCGGAGCGTATCTCACTGCATCACACGTAAACAAACAAAGCCCCGCCCCCTGCCCCGATCCTCGCACTGAGCCGAGTTCAGCCGGGCAGACCCGGCAGGCCTGAGGTCACTCCTCAGCGTACCGGTCAGGGTCAGAGGTCACCGGAAGCAGGTTATCTGCTCGCTGGGTTAACCCGCGCGCTCAGCGATCTGGAGCTCAGCAATCACAAACACGGATGAGGGTAACGTCTTTGTGGCAGTGTGACGCAACAGGAAGTAAAAATAGGAAGAAAGCGTGAAATAAAGATGCAAATAGCATAAATGTAAACATGTCAGTGATGGACGCGGAGGCTGCTCCAGCTCGCTGTGCTCTGTTTCTCTTTATGAAACGGTGATATTAGGATGCGAGGAGGTTAAATAGTCCCTCTGCTCTCAGACAGGAAACAAGACAAACAGGATTCAGACGCAGGATCAGATATGAATGTTTGTGACAGCTACAAGGTCCCGAGTCCCACATTCACCCCACTCGGGGCGTGTGTGGGACGCAGCTTCAATGAAACAAACGCTTCACATATTAAAACAAAGGGGGCGGCGCCTCCTGGTGGCAGCCGCAGGTACTGCAGGTGAGGACAGCGAGGTCCGATTTACTTCATTTTTCTTCGATTCAGCAGAAGAAGAAGAAATGAGTCAAACATAAAACACAGAAACGTCCTCTGGTCTGAAGTTCGGTAACATCCGACCAAACAAACAGCCGAAGGAGGTCAAAGCTAAACAGAATGAATACAATAAGAAAATCAAGCAGATAATTAAATATCATAATATTTAATAAAGTAAAATGTGAAGGACAGAGCGAAGTGCACAACAATTTAAAACACAACATACGAGCAACACAATGAACAATATACCACAATATCAAAACAATCTAAATCCTTATATACAGAAACGACGCTGCAGGATGCTGGAAATGAACCGAGCTGACTTTCAAAACACGAAGAAAGAATTTAGTTCTTTTTTCTTTTTAATTCAAGCGACCAATGTGGAGGCTTGGGTGACGTAGCGAGCTGCAGCGACCAATCAGAACTCTCCGTGTAGAAACTTTGTTTGAAGTTTCTCCGGTCTCCGGCTTGTTTAGTGCGCATGTGCTCTTTGAGCGTATCAAACTTTGTGCGCATGCGTTCGTTAAACAAAAGTAGAGTGAGATTAGAGCGTGAGTGTTTTAACGTGAGTTCCTGAGCGGACCGGCGCACCGGACCGTCTTCTCTCCGTTTCTCCGGTTTGTGTTCAGCGAAGAAGAATCAAACAGGCTCGTGTGTTTCCTCCTTCATTGATCTGCAGAGCCGGAAGTTGTCAGAGTCGAGCAGAGTTTCTACAGTTTGCGGACAGTGACGGACTGAAGGTAAGCAGAATGTGTTCCGATCAGCTGTGTGACCTTTGACCTCTGCAGCCTCACACAGAGAGGGGAACGAGTCTGAGTGTTCGGTAAAAAAAAAGTCCCGAGTTCGCAGTTGAATCCAACTGGATCAGATTATCCGACTCTGTGAATCAGACAGAGCAGCTGATGTTCACGTCCTGACTCTGTAGTTACTTCTTGTTTGCCGGTGTGCTACACCTGTCACTGCCGAGCCCGTCCCACCAAACTCCGCTCAGAAACCGTCTAATTTAAGTCCAACTGCTGTGATTGTGTCCGACGCGTTTACACGGAGCCTGTCCTGAACCCGGAGCTCTGACAGCCCCCTAAGAAACACGAAAGATAACGCAGCAGGGCCGTGGATGTGGTTTATTCGAGTAATTATAATGATTACAGGCCGTCTGATGGTTTCAGGCTGCGTTGGAAAGTAAAAGTGAAACCAAGCTGTGGTCCTTTCCGTGCCTCGCGTGTGCGTGACAGTTTTATGCAAACAGGCTGAAGGTGGATGACACTCTGCTCTTTGAATCTCACTTTTCTTTGTTACATGTCACAGTCAGCAGCTGATGGAAAACTGAAACTGGTTTTTATTTTAGGGTCAGACGTGCTGCTTCCACTTTTGTGTCTGTGCTGCATTTCTACGGTATGTTATTTCTATTCATGCGTCATCATACAGCTGCACATTTGGCACAGGTGGATGCTGGGAAAGGTGGAGGTGGAGCAGAAGGAAGAGAAGGAGACGCGAGAGAAATCGCAACCGCTGAGCAGCGTAGGCTCGGGTTGGGTGGTTTGTGTGGTCGCAGATAGACACGGAGTCAGTACACACGTGACCTCGTGTCGCACACGCGTGTGTTACTGTGACACGCTGTGTGTGACGTTAGTCACCGCTGCCTCTCTCACGGAGCTCACACACTGTTGCATCAATGATGCAGCAACCACAGAAATGCGATTAAAGATGTGACAGCTGCAACACGCTAACAGCAGATTTACCTGTGAAACTGTGACGCTGGCAGCTCACCTGTCCCAGGTGTGCGTCGCTGTGTAAGGAATAACTACTTACACTCCTCTTCATTTTTGAACCTTGTTTTCAGGAAAGACACCACGTGGAGTCGCAGAGATGCCCACCCGGATGGACGACGTCATGCGTTTGTGCTGTGAAGTGTCGGCTCACGAGGAGATCAAGGTCGCCGTGAAGAACTCCACCAAAGGGGCGATGGTGGCGGGAGGATCTGCGTTTGTGGGCGGGCTGCTCGGCGGACCTCCGGGGATCGCTGTCGGTAAGTAGAAGAAGAAGAAGGAGGAATTAAATCTGCTGATTCAGCAGAAGGAGATAAAAAGACATAAAAGGAAACAGAGGAGGACGCTGGGTTTGAGTTTGTCGGTTTAAACCTGACTGTGGACGAGGCCGCGTGTTTGCCACAGCTGTCAGAGTAATAACACGCTCTGAGGATTTGTGCTTTTTGTGGTAGAAGGCAGTAAACACGAGCAGGTTCGAGTCCTCTGCAGTAACTGCAGGTAAGAAGACGTTTGGAGGCTTTAGTTGCTGCAGTGATCGTCACGCGGGCAGCCTCAGTAACCTGGACCAGCAAAGTCCTCCCCACACAGCAGCCATCTTGAAAGGCCTCTGGCGTTATGTAAATCGCTTTGTGTGGCCGACAGGAGAGTTAAAGCACACCTGTGTGAACGAACAGGTAAACGACCTCAGTGAAGGCAGAGCCGTTTCACATGTGTGACGATTATTTTTAACCACACGCTGAATTTAGTCGTTTGCATTGATGGAAACACAGACGCACTTTGGTCACCAAAGTTTGTAAATCTGATAACTTGAGAACGAGGCGACGCAGAGTTTAAAATTCACAGCACGGTGCGTGTACTAACATCTCATTTGATAAGAGGTCAAGGTCAGAGGTCAAGTTTTCTGAAACTCTGGCGAAGCCCATAATTCAACAGGGGAGTCACAAGTTTGTCCACCAGGAGGCTTTATGTCCTCACAGGTGCTCACATGCATGGCCTGAAAGCACACGCCTTAACACGCTCTGATCTTTTCCATAATAGATATAATATAATCAATCAATAAATGTATTGATGTGAACAGCCTGTGTTTAAAGCTTTAGACGTTTAAAGTTGGACGTCGCTGTCGCTGACCTCGGCCACAGCTGTTACTTAAGCCTGTTTACGCCTGTGTGTGCGCCTCTGACGCGCTGGTGTTCTTCTTCTGCATCTCTGTCAGGCGGCGCCGTCGGCGGTCTCCTGGGCAGCTGGCTGACCAGCGGGCAGTTCAGACCTCTGCCTCAGATCCTGATGGAGCTGCCTCCCCCGCAGCAGAGGCAGCTCTACGAGTCCATCACGGCCGTCTTGGGGAACCTGGACTGGACGGACGCGGCCCAGCTCGTCTCGCTCGTGATGGGGAACTCCACCCTCCAGCAGCAGGTCGCCGCTGCCTTAATTAGCTACGTCACCAAGGAGCTGAGAGCGGAGGTGCGCTACAAGGACTGAGGGATGGTTCCACGTGGACCTGACCTTTGAACTGAATCACGGACGTCTCGCAGCTCACACAGACGAAGTTCTCAGCAATGTTTGTGCAGCACTGATGTCTTTGTTACTTTGGCTTTTTTAATCCCTGAATGGGACCAGCGTGTAATTTAATCTGGATTAGAAAATCTGCTCATTCGCACACTCTGCATCAGGGTCTTTTTAGAGTGCTCCTGCTCTCAGATTTCAAGCTTTTCATTCAATATTTGTTCAGCAGCTTTGATGACTGACAGCTCAGCTGGTACACTGTAAAATGATTACTCCCCCCGAAGACCGAGGGCTGGTACTACACCTGTTTTTTTTTTTATCATGTTTTTATTGCAGCGTGTTATGACATCATTGTGACACTGCAGGACGTTGCATTGGACAAATAAAAACTGTGTTGTACAGCTCTCTGCGTCGCCTGTCACACAATGTATTTCTCATACTACTTATTTAATCTGTCTCTCTTCCACAGCATGTCTTTGTCCTGTCTTCATTCTCTCTCTCCAACTAATCACAGCAGATGGCCCCGCCCCTCCCTGAGCCTGCTTCTGCTGGAGGTTTCTTCCTGTTAAAAGGGAGTTTTTCCTTCCCACTGTCGCCAAAGTGCTGCTCATAGGGGGGCATATGATTGTTGGGTTTCTCTGTGTGTGTTATTGTAGGGTCGACCTGACAGTGTAAAGCAGCTTGAGGCGACTGTTGTTGTGATCTGTATAAATAAAATTGAATTGAAAGGTCAACATTGACCTTGGGCTTAGCCAACCTTGGTACTCGTGTCTGTTGATCGTGGTAAATATGCTGTGCTTGTGTTATTGGATATGACAGCTGCATTTGACACAGTGGACCACGACCTGCTGCTCTCCCGCTTACATCACTGTGTGGCAATTTCTGATCTGGCATTGTCATGGATAAAATCATATCTTTCCAAAAGGAGTTTTTGTGTCAAGCTGGGGCTGGCCGCTTCCTCTGTGGCCCCTCTGCTTTGGGGTGTGCCCCAGGGATCTATCCTTGGGCCATTATTTTTCTCGCTGTATTTACTCCCTCTTGGTGCGATTTTTCGTAAACACGGAGTGTCATTTCATTTGTATGCCGATGACTGTCAGCTTTACTTACCTTTTAGTCATTTGGATACCTCCCCATGTCAATCACTGCTTGACTGTCTTAGCGATATTAAATTATGGATGGCAAATAATTTTTTGAATTTTAATGGTCGCAAAACGGAAGTAATCTTATATGGCCCGCATCGTTCTACTGATACCCCAGAGGTTGATTTTGGTGATTTGACCTCTCATCTGAAAAGTTCAGTCACTAATCTTGGTGTTAAACTTGATTCTGCGCTTACTTTTGAAGGCCATGTAAATGGGGTGGTGAAATCAGCTTTTTATCACCTCAGACGCCTGTCGAAGGTTAAGCCTTTCCTTTCCAAACCCAATTTGGAAACTCTTATTCATGCTTTTATCACCTCACATCTGGACTATTGTAATTCCCTTTTAATAGGGGTCGGGTCGGGCACCTTGTCACGCCTGCAGTTTAACCGGTAGTAGGAAATTCGATCACATCACTCCGGTTCTGGCTTCCTTGCATTGGCTTCCCATTGAATTTAGGGTTCGTTTTAAAGTCCTTTTATTGGTTTTTAAATCTTTAAATGGTCTGGCTCCTGTCTATTTATCTGATTTGCTGAAGCCACATGTTCCTCCTCGCTCGCTCCGTTCAGCTGAGCAGCAGCTGCTGTCGGTCCCTAAGTCGCAGCTGAAATGCAGAGGAGACCGTGCCTTTTCAATTGCGGCTCCGATGCTCTGGAATAACCTTCCCCTCCAAATTAGACAAGCGTCATCAGTGCAGGTCTTTAAGTCCAGATGGAAAACCTATTTTTATTCCCAGGAAACTGACACCTTCTTATTTATTTTATTGTATGTAATGATTTTATGGTATTTTTAATTTGGTTGTTGTTTTGTTCTGTGTTGTTCAGCACTTTGGTCTGCCTGGTGTGTTCTTAAAGTGCTATACAAATAAACGATGATGTTGATGATGTCGAGGAAGACCTAGTATATTGTTGTGAAATTTGATGAATCTATAAAAAATTGTGGGCAATATAAAGTTTTTACTGATCTTCATATTTGGTTGACTTTGACCCAATTTTCACCAAATCAGAAATCAGCTTGAGCTGTTTTTGGTATCTACCAAATCTCATAAACTCAGATTTTATTCTGAGTAGAACAGAAAACACATCAAATGTTTAAAATGAGAAACTCTGATGGCAGCGACACATCTGTAAAGTGGGACAGCTCCATGCTTCCTCTTCTTCAACATCAGCCTGTGATGGTCTGTGAGCTGAGGAGGGCAGCAGTCCTGGCTCTGCTGCGTCCTGTTGCTGATGCTCCAGATGTTTTCAGCTGACTCGCTTCCTATGAAGCTGTGCAGCTGGAATATTGACTTCAGTAGGTAACAGAGCTACATTATGGAGCAGCTTGTGTCTGAGCAGGGAGGAACCTTTAGAAAGGTCAGTATTACAGAAGCAGGTAGCCTGATGGATTAACTGGTAGGATCGTGGGAGTGTAGGAAAGAGCTTAGCTTTGTCTTTAGACACCAGTCCCAAATCTCTTATGGTCCACACTGGTCTCGTAGCCTGGGTGTCCTCATAAGGTCCTGTACCAAAAACAAATCCATTGCAATGAATAGCTTTAAAGAAGAGATCGTGTTCTTAGTGAGGTGAAAGGTAAACTGGACCCACGTCAGTTTGCACAGAAGATGCTCTTGTAGCTGTTGCAGAGAATTAGTGTCACGTGGACCCAACAAAGATATTTATGGACTGTTCATCTTTAATACTGGACCACATATCTTAATGCAAAGGTTATCACAGCTTAAGGGTCACAGCACACTGATCAGCAGCAGAAGGGTGTAGAGTATGGCACCAACAGGTGGGCACACCTGTCCTGACCCGGCCTCACAGGCCACAAAGCACCAATCCCTGCTTCTGTCAGTGCGGCTCATTTAAACTGGAGGAGTGATTTACCTGACACAGCTTTGCTGTTATGACACAACATTAAAATGACAAAGTAATAGTACGAGAGCGTCTCTGGCTTTGCACTGTAAAAGTCCAAAGTTCATACTTATGTGTAGGTGAGCTTCAGGGTTCAGGATCTCAGGTGTTCCTCTGCACTGCTGCACCTGGAGTCTCACTGTGACATCATTAAAACCAGTCCTGAAAGACGTGCGTATAAAGCTAAAGAAGTATCCAACCGAAGGTGTCGGCTGGCGTGAAATATCGTTTCACATTGAAAGTGAAAATTCCTAACATGTGACAGTTGTTCCGGTGTTAAGGGTCCGGTTTGGTTTGTACGAGTAAAACAGGACAAACCAGCACATTTTCAGCATTATGTACTGGATGTTTGCAGAGACAATCCAGGTAATAATGAAACTTAAGAAGAACTGGAAGCCACTTACACCTCCACCCGCCCCACAGACATCTTGATATAAAGTGGAAGCGGGATGCTCAGGTCAGTGTTTCTGTGCACAGCAGATTATCAGCTCGCACACTCAGGACAGCACGGTAAGACGTTTATTCTTATTCATGCTGCATTATTAATATGGATGTGTATTCTGTTTTAGTTCATAGGAACTTCTCGGTGATCAGTTATCATATTTTTCTCTTACAGGAGATTCACCAAGAAGATGGAAGCGAAAGATGAACATATCGAAAAACTGATTCATGAATTATCACCTGATGTAGAGAGAGAGCTGAGAAACACCTGGATGCGCCTCCTCAAAGGAACAGTTGTGACGGGAGGATGCACATTAGTATGCGCGGCTCTCTTTGGACCTGTGGGGTTTGCTGTTGGTGAGTGAATGAATGATCCAGATAAGAGGGAACTGTTCCTACAGTGGGTAATAATAAGAAAATAAAAACAAAATAAAGTCATTGTTTCTGAACAATGAGACCCTAACCCTATCTGAACAGATAACATGGAGGAGAAACACATACGGGGACAAAACCATAAATCGGATCATTTTTCTTTGGCTTTTACGAAACTTGTTCACAGTAAATATAAATCTATTATTAAACAGATAAAAATCCTCAGCTGTGTTTTCTGATGTTTTTATTTGGGATAATTCAAACACTTAACCTTTTTGTGGAAACAAGACTGGATACCAAACCTGGTTCTGACTTTCCATTCACCCTCTCTTCTGTGTCTCCTAGGTGGAGTCATTGGTGGCCTCTCCAGCTGGCTGACCAGTAAAAAGTTCAAGTCTGTGCCTGAGATCCTGGGGGAGATGACTGATGACCAGAGGAGAGAGCTCTTCAACGCAATCAGGCGACATTTACGTGGCCTGGTGTGGAAAACTGCTGAAGACCTCATTGATAAAGTGATGAGAAATCCTGATCTCAAGACCACAATTATCAATTTGTTAATCGGAATGTTAATGTGAGAACAGGCGTCTTAACATTTATGACTCTGTGTGTGTGTTGGCCTTCGTGATGGACAAACACAGTCAGTGAATTTTAACCAGACGTATTTCTCAGTTAGAAACATAAATTAGAGATAATCTGTGCCGGAGTAGAAAGTCAATGTATTTTCTTCACTCTGATTCAAATAAAAGAAAAAAACTGCTGAACATTTTTGTGTCCTTACAAATGATTTCATTCTCCTGAATAAAGTACTCCACATACTGTGCAAATGTAAAATATGGAGAATTATACTTGAAGTTGGCAGCCGGTTTTCTCAGACCAACAGCTCCTAAAGGTCAGACATCAGTTTCCTCCGGCATGTTCATCTTTAGCTCCCTGCTCGCCTTTTTGGGTTTGGAAGACAAAGAAACGTCAGAAGGTGCAGCTGAAGAACATCAACAGCACGTTTATGGAAAAAAAACGAGTGTAAAATCCACACGCAGCACATGACCAGCTTACCCACATTCAACAAACTCAGATGTTAAAGTTGTTTGAATGAAGCTGAAAGGTCAGACCAGGTGTAACCAAAGGGTGCAGTTAAAAGCAAAGGTGATAAAGAGCTTTAGGTTTCCCGTGAAATCTTAAGAACTTCGAGGTGATACACGAGATCTGAGCTGAATGTTTGGGCTGAAGTGTGTGAACAAGATGAAGCAGAAAAGCTTGTGTTTCAGTGAAACACTGAGAGTGTAATCAGACCAGTCCAGCAGAAATCCTGCAAACACTTCAGTGTGAAACCAGAGAGAAGACAGGATGTCCATTCTGAGGTCTGCAATTTCTCTGTACCATTACACTGCGCACTGACTGAGAATACAAGTATCTGAACTTGTTCTTCAGGTTTTTACATTAAATGGAACATTTAAAGGTAATCCATTCTGCTCATTTAAGCTCCGATTCACAGTCTGTATCTGATCCTGGGCCTCAGTGCAACCACTCAGCTCATTGCATCTGAAAGAAGCGCTTTTAGCTCCTCCCCCTACCTTCCTGTCATGTTTGGGTCAAATCTGACCAATTTACAAATGACAAAACCCATAAATATTGTGTTTTACATCCGATTGCCTATGGGTCTTATGACATCCTCCACAGTATGCACTATATGAAAGTGATAAGCACCTCTTTAGTTGAATTTTGAACGTTTTAATCAACTTTGTTACATCTCTAATGTTCCCGGCCATAGAAAACACCATAGAAAATGAATTGGAATCCAACCTCCACCCCATTTGGCCTCCAACCCCCTGAATGGCCCACTGAACTGACGTTTCTTATGTTAATTTAAGAGCTGTTAAGACTAACTGGTCAATTGTGACCAGAACACTAAAGTAGGGTGGGTGTTGGGTCTAAACTTAGACCCCACTGACCCTGGGACTTATTCCCGTGAAGGATATGCATGTGAGAATGTGTGTGTGCACGTGTGCAAGAATGTCTGTGTGTGTCTCTGTGTGCGTGACTTCCTGATCACAGCTGTTTCTAACAACATCCTGGTCATAAAGAGGGTAATCTCCCCCACACCCAATGTATGGTTCAATTCCTGTATTGGTTCACCATACACAACACAGTGAAGCCATAAAAAGGGCAGGAAGCTTACCAAACATGAAACAAACCTTCACAAGGATCAGAATCAGAATCAGAATCAGAAAGGGTTTTATTGCCAAATGTTGAGCAGGTTTACAACATTAGGAAATTGCTGCGGTACTTAGTGCAAACATACTGTCAGATAACGCTTAAATAGACATAAAAATAAGAATTAAAAGTGCTAAGAAGATAGATATATACATGATATATACATGAGTGCAGGTGGTGATCAGTGCCAAACATGAAATGATGCAGTGACACAGCGTAGGGTCATGTGTTAGTGGTGGGAACAGTCATACGGTTGTTGTTCATGTGTTCAACAGCAGAGGGGAAGAAACTGTTCTTATGGCGAGAGGTTCTGGTGCGAATGGACCGGAGCCTCCTGCCTGAGGGGAGCAGGTCAAACAGACTGTGTCCAGGGTGAGAAGGGTCAGCTGAGATCCGAGCTGCACGCCCCAGTGTCCTGGAGGTGTACAGGTCCTGCAGAGATGGGAGTCTGCAGCCAATCACCTTCTCAGCAGAGCGCACAACACGCTGCAGTCTCTGTTTGTCCCTGATAGAGGCTCCAGCGTACCACACGGTGATGGAGGAGGTGAGGATGGACTCGATGATTGCGGTGTAGAATTGCATCATCGTCCGTGTTGGCAGGTTGAATTTCTTCAGCTGCCTCAGGAAGTACATCCTCTGCTGGGCTTTCTTAATGACGGAGGTGATGGTGGGCTCCCACTTCAGGTCCTGGGTGATGGTGGTACCCAGGAAGCGGAATGAGTCCCCAGAGGTGATGGGGGTGTCAGTCAGGATGATGGGGGGGAGTGGGGCTGTGTGCTTCCTGAAGTCCACAATAATCTCCACTGTCTTCTGGGCATTCAGCACCAGGTTGTTGTGGCTGCACCAGGACACCAGACGTTCAACCTCCCTCCTGTAGGCAGACTCGTCCCCGTCCGAGATGAGTCCAATAACGGTGGTGTCATCTGCAAACTTGATTAGCTTGACAGACTGGTGGGTGGAGGTGCAGCAGTTGGTGTACAGGGAGAAGAGCAGAGGAGAAAGAACACAGCCCTGAAGGGAGCCGGTGCTGATGGTCCGGGAGTCCGAGACATTCTTCCCCAGCCTCACATGCTGCTTCCTGTCCGTCAGGAAGTCAGTGATCCACCGGCAGATGGGATCAGGCACATTCATCTGGGAAAGCTTGTCTCGGAGATGGTCTGGAAGGATGGTGTTGAAGGCAGAGCTGAAGTCCACAAACAGGATCCTGGCGTAGGTTCCTGGGGAGTCCAGAAGCTGCAGGATGAAGTGTAGGGCCATGTTGATGGCGTCATCTACAGACCTGTTGGCTGCAGGGGGTCCAGGAGGGGGGCCGTGAGGGTCTTGAGATAGGAGAGAACCAGGCGCTCAAATGACTTCATGACCACAGATGTCAGAGCCACGGGTCTGTAGTCATTTAGTCCAGTGATCCTAGGTTTCTTGGGGACAGGGATTATGGTAGAGGACTTGAAGCAGGCAGGCACATGACATGCCTGCAGTGAGGAGTTGAAAATGCCAGAAAACACTGTGGATTTACTTCCAATATTTGTCGCATTTGCAGCAGATTTACTACAGACTTTGATCAGGAAAGTGAGCCGGCGCACTCGTGCGTCTGAGAAGACGCGGACTGCTAACTGCTCTTCCTGGGATCTTCCTTTCCAACGTACGCTCACTCCGGAATAAGCTGGACGAGCTGGCCCTGATGAGAAGCATGAACAGAGACTTTGCCTCCTCCTGTGTCTTATAGATGTGCTTGTGATAAAACACTACAGCCTCCCCAGAACCTCGAGAGGCTGGGGAGGGGGACAAAGGAATTCCTTTGATCACAGAGTTGAAACAATGTAGAGATGGTAAGCATAAAAATGACAACATTTAACAATTCACTTTAACAGTGGGGGTGCACACAACAAGGGGGTTAAGAAAAAGTACTCATGATTGGCTGCTCCTCACAAAAAAACACCTTCACCTCTCTGTGACAACATCCAGAACAAAGAGTTAAGTCTGTGAAGGTTCTCAGTCATCCAGGTCATCGTAGTCAAAGGAGCTTGGAAAGAAAAGCGTCTGGACTTCTTTAAGTTGCTTGAAGACGTTTCACCTCTCATCCGAGAAGCTTCTTCAGTTCTAAGGTCAAATGGTGGAGAGTCCCAGATATAAACCTAGTGGGAGATACCCCCCACAGAGGGACAAAAGGACCCCCTGATGATCCTCTAATCGCCTGAGCCAAGGTGTGAAACTGGGTGTGGGTCCCAATCAGGATCAATGACATCCCGGTGCATTTCAGACCCAGCAACACGCTCAGACACAAACACCCGAAAGACAAAACTCCAACACACAGACTTAACAATGTGGTGTTTGCTGTACAGTGCAGCGAGGAATGACCAGACCTCTACATTGGAGAGACCAAACAGCCACTTCACAAGCGCATGGCACAACATAGAAGAGCCACCTCCACAGCAGTCCATCTGCATCTTAAGGTCAAAGGTCACTCTTTTGAGGATGCCAATGTTCACATTTTGGACAGAGAGGACAGATGGTTTGAAAGAGGAGTGAAGGAAACCTTTTATGTGCACTGTGAGCGACCATCTTTGAACAGAGGCGGGGTTTACGACACCAACTGTCTGCCATCTATAATCCAGTTTTGAGATCCCTTCCCAGATGCCTTAACGCCCACTCACATCCTGGGCCATCTGACCTCAGGAATTCGCATGATAAGGTGGAGCCAGGTTTCACAATGAACTCACCCGGAACCCTGGCTGATTGTGACCCACACCCAGTTTCACACCTTGGCTCAGGCGACTACAGGATCATCAGGGGGTCCTTTTGTCCCTTTGTGGGGGGTATCTCCCACTAGGTTTAAATCTGGGTCTCTCCACCATTTGACCTTAGAACTGAAGAAGCTTCTTGGATGAGAGGTGAAACGTCTTCAAGCAACTTAAGGTGTCCAGACGCTTTTCTTTCCAAGCTCCTTAGACAACAAAGAGTTAACAAAAAAGTGCTGAGAGCAGGAAATACTGTTCGTACATGGAGCTCGATATTAGAACTTCTGGTCATGTCACACAAGTTATCAGGACACAAACATTAACAGGAAGTCTTTTAAAGGTGTAGCTGAGCCAACATTAAAATGACAGCATAATACTACGGGAGCATTTCTGGTCCTGCACTTCAGGGTTCAGGATCTCAGGTGTTGCACCTGGAATCTACACTGTGACATCATTAAAACCAGGCACAGGCCCTCCAAGGCCTATCTCCCCTCACCACACTCCCTGCTGGTAACTGATGCCCTCAGGGGTTGCGTTGGTGGTTCTTGGTGTCCGGGGCTGGGCGCTCAGGTATGTACCAGCTCACTCCCAGTGACTACTTGGCGGGGCCTGGTGCCTGTTGCTCGGTCAGGCCTCTTCCGGGGCAAAGGGGGCCCTCGGGCCTCCAGCCTCTGGGCCTGTGGCTCGGTTCACTCTGGCACAGCTGGCTGCCTGCAGAGCCGGCAGGCAGCTCTCCTCAGCTCTTCCCAGGAGGGTGGCACGGATGCTCCTCCGGTGGTCCTCCTTGGGCTCTCGCACTCTGGGGCCTCTGGATGCCTGCAGCCTGGATCTCCTCCATGCCTTCTTCATGCCCTGGGGGACGGGGCTATGGCTCTCTACATCCTCTAGCAGACCATTACATGTGGAAACCTTTTGAATACAAGCGCGCTGATCCACACAGGTGTTCACTGTTCATAGACATAAACTACACCTTTATTGGCTGCTACCTCAAAGCACATTGTGCGCTGTCGGTCCTGCGTGCTGCACAACAACATTCAATATTTAGTATTTACTGCTGTTTACACTTGGCTAGATTAACGTGATGGTGTTGTGTTTAGTATGTTGCTTTGTTGTTTTTGCTTGTTTTCTCTTCTTTTTCTCTCAACAGGTGATCCAGGAGGTTTTTTTTCTCTTCTTTCTCTTTTTAAGTTTCCTTTCTCACTGTCCCTCTTCCCTTCTGTTTTTGTTTTCCTTCATCTTTCTTTCTCCCTTTCCTATCCCTCAGTCATGTCTGTCCCGTCTGTAAAACTGAAAATAAAATAAAATAAATAATAACAACAAAGGTCGATCAAATGGACCAATATGGCAAGGCCGTGATGGTCCATTTGGCAAAGTAAATCCATTGGGTATCCTTGTTGGTCTTCAGACAACAATTCTGACGGCTAAAGAACCAAATGGGACAGGCAAAAAAAAAAAAAAAAAAAGAAATCATGAGAAACGCATCAGGGCTTCTTGTTTATCAGCTTTACAGAGAAAAATGCCTTAGAGACGCATCATACTTCACAGTTTATCCCAAAATGATGTATTGAACATATGTTTTCAGGTTTGAAGCAATTGATCTGGGCTATGCTTGGTAGAGGTATAATGCCAGTTACAAATCTCTCAACATGTGTACACCGTGCACCAATTTTGACAGAAAATACACAAACTGATACGAGGCTTTTTCCATCTTGTGGGGCTTACAAAAAAAAAGAAAGAAAGAAAAACACCCAGTCCTGAAAGACGTGCGTATAAAGCTAAAGAAGTATCCAACCGAAGGTGTCGGCTGGCGTGAAATATCGTTTCACATTGAAAGTGAAAATTCCTAACATGTGACAGTTGTTCCGGTGTTAAGGGTCCGGTTTGGTTTGTACGAGTAACACGAGATAAACCAGTCCAGTAACGTCCTGAAGAAATGAAACCGATGTGCTAATATGGTAAATGGGTTTATATTAAGACACTAATGAACACTGGCAGGGTCCTTACACCTCACAGAGTGGGTAACGTGATCACACAGGTTTGGATGTTTGGAGCGTCTGTTGGAAGCACCGAGACGCCGTAAACACCTACAGTTCAGAAGCACACGGCACAGATGTGACTCGATCAGGGTACTTTCATTTCTTATTGTCTCAAAAACGATTATGATACCAACTCATCTGTTAGTCAGTGAATGAATGAACTAAACAAAATGCTGGTCACCAAGTCAGAGCTTAAAGTTTTTGTTTGCTTGTTTAATATGAAGGCGAGTGAGCTTCAGGTTTCCGGTAAATGCCAGGCGCTGCTCCAGAAAGCAGGTTTATCAGATTCTTTCTGTTTCTGTTCCAGAAGAGCCAATCAGAGTCTTCAGTCGGCTCTGATCGTGTTCATCCAACATTTGTAGTGAAAGAAGCCGGGCTGTGCGCAGCAGTCTGTAAGAGTTACCATCAGAGGCTGCTGTTGAATCCATCTCCCCCGCTGAGCTGCATCATTTATTTGTGTTCATCAGCACTGGCTCTCTGTGCCTCCAGCCTCTTATTTTAACCACGTGCCGTGCTATCCACCGCCCCCTGCTGACCGTTAAAAAGAGTGCAGGTTTAAGGACCTTCAGTTTTGGCTTTAATCTTCAGACGCTGATGAGTTTAGGTCAGCTCTTGTTCCTGAACAGAAACCTGGAGTTTCATCTCAGGATGAAAACCCTCAGATATTTACCTGAACCTGGTCTCTGGAATGAGCCCACAAACAAAAGCAGACGTCTGCGAGTGAAAAATTCCCAGTGTGTTCTTCCAGCATTCACAGAGACAACAGCCGACATCAGTGATGTCAGGGCGGAGTGATGGTGCTGGATCCTTCTGTCAAACTGAGACGAGACAAACCGCTCCAGTAACATTCAGCAAAAAGTGAAGAATAAAAGGTGTTTTTGTGTCAGCGCGACAGAAGAGTGTGGATTTAGACCCTGGTGTGAAGCTGAAATCCAGCTGAGCACACATCTGTGCTTATCTGTAACTTTAAATTCATTTCACTTTTACTGCACGGCACCAATTCACAACTGCAGTCGCCTCCAGCAGCTTTAAACTGTAAGGCTGTAAAGACCCTGCAACGCTGGAGAGGAACCCAACAATCAGACGATGCTCATGAGCAGCACCTGGAGTGGAGGCTGAGGGAGGGGCAGCCAAAAGGCCAACAGAGCTCCTGAGCTCAAACTACAAAGCTTCAAATCATTTCAGACATTTTTCAGTCACTGATGAAAGTATTGCAGTATTTATAGTTGTATGATGGAAATAATGAAACTGAAACTCACACACTGACACCTCACACACAAACACACACCTGCTATAAAGGTGTGTGTTTGTGCTCGTGCTTCATTCCTCTCAGGACAGCAAAGGTAAGAAACATAGATCATTACAGCTTTTCTGTCTTTCTGCTACTTGTCACTTAAACTTGATCAGTCATTGTTGATCGCACCAGCTGATCCATGTCGTCTATATTAGCTTATTTTAACTTTCACTGCTGTGGACGAGTCAGGAGTGCTTTTTAAAAGTTCGCGACATGAATCAACTTAACAGTCAAAAATATTATCAATGATTACAAATGAATCTGAATATTTTTCTTCTGATTAAATATTAGACTGAACGTCTGCTGCTTGGACCTTACAGGCCTGATGTGATTTGCTGCTTTATGAATAAAACTGAATTTGTTCTGACAGTAAAATTACATCACAGTTACATCCAGGCAGAAACTGACAGAATTTTACCCAAATACTTCATCAGTAAGATGAACGACAAAATAAAAAAAGATCTCCAACAACTGCTCGACAAATTATGGTCTGAGCCAGATCTCAAGGTCACCATGAAGAACTCGGTGAAAGGAGGAATTAAGACCGGAGGATGTGCGGTTGTTGGTGGGCTGGTTGGTGGACCTCCGGGGTTTGCTGTGGGTGAGTACATCAATTATCCATTTGTGAAGCAGACATTAAAGCAGCTGATGATCGGGCCAAATGAAACGAAAGAATCGAGGACACAGTGAGAACTTGGACAAAATCAATCAGATTTTTTATTTTATTGGGTTATTGGACTGATAGACTGCCATGTTAAAAAAATATGTGGAATTGGGAGGAAACGATCCCTCACACAGAGCTTTAACTTCGGAACTTCAAAAATATAAACTGCTGTACGTGAACTTTTTGTCCATGTAGCGACTTCCACAGTCGCTAGAGGCCGGGGATGGAGCCTGCCTATTTGCCTGACGCGCTGTCAACTTTTCGCAATAATGCGAGAGGTGGAATTGTTTGCTTGTTTATTAAAGTGCTTTGAGAGTTTACAGAGTAATGTCATCGGCTCCTGATTCAGACTCTTACAACATCACAGGCTCTAATGTAACAAGGCGAAACATGTTGTGCAGCGCAGCGGTCAACAAAATAGTGATGGGTCGTTCGCGAATGAAATGGCTCTTAGAGCCGGTTCTTTGACGTGAACGACGCGAGCCGGCTCCTTATCGCGAGCCGTCACGTGGGGTTTTTTTTTTTCCCCTTCTCTCACCCTCTCTCTCGCACTTTTTTTCCGCTTCACTGTGCACGTGAGCCTTGTGCTTTACGCTGGGCAGAGGGGGGAGGGGCGGTAGTTACACTCAAGTAGCACAGGAATAGAGCCAGAGGGAGAGAGAGCCAGGGACAACAATGTCACATTAGAAAGGTATAGTAATCATCCACAACTATTTTCAGTAGTGGAAGATAAAGGATTCAGAAAGTTTATTCATGCAGGCCCATATGACAGAGAATATGCATGTTCTTTTAGTTTTCATATTATAATTTATATTTAATTGTGTTGTGGTTTGCAGTGTTTTGTGTTGTTTTCACTTTAAATTTGTAAAAGGAAAAAGCTGAAAATTTAAATAGTTAAAAGTTGAAATGTGAATAGTTGATTTTTGTATTATATGATTTATTTATTACATTTTATATGGAGTGAATAAATAAAAGTATATTTACGGTGGCCCCTAGAGACAAAGAACATACAAACTCCAAAACACGTACAAACTCCGAAGCACGTAAAAACTCCAAAGCACATTAAAGCTCAGAAGCACATAAAAACTCAAAACACGTACAAAAGACAACAGAAGTGCTCCAGGATGCTGGGAGCAGTGTTGAGCTTTTGTTATCTTGTGGCTACACAAGCCAGCAAGTACCAACGACCGGATTTGGTGTGTGGTAATAACAGGTAAATGAACTTTTTTTAAAATTATTTGAATATATATGAGTGCCTGTGTATAAATACACAAACAATACACACATGCTTTCAATTGTGTAATTTAAGTGATCTAGTAGCTCTGCTTTGGAAGTTCAGTTCATGCTAGAAATGTGTTTTGGAGTTTGTACGTGTTTTGTCTCTAGGGGCCACCGCATATATTTATATATAAACATATATAAATAAAACCACTTTTTTTAATGTTAGTAATTCCTTTTGTGCATAATTTTACATTATTGTTAATAATAAATTAATTAAAGCAACAAAACAACCTGAAGAGCCGGTTCGGAGCCGAAAGAGCCGGCTCTTTTTAGTGAGCCGAACCGAAAGAGCCGGATCTCTAAAAAGATCCGGATCTCTAAAAAGAGCCGGATCTCTAAAAAGATCCGGAAATCCCATCACTACAACAAAAACTACGGCTACCCGCCCTCCTCTCTGTCAAAATCAAAACCAGTGAATGACAGACTGACAACGCCCATTTATGTCACCGCTAGCACCCACGTGACTCCCATAACCAGTGTTGGGGAGTAACGGAATACATGTACCGCCGTTACGTATTTAAAATACAAAATATGAGTAACTGTATTCCGTTACAGTTACCGTTTAAAAAGGTGGTATTCAGAATACAGTTACTTTGTTGAAATAAATGGATTACACTGCGGTACTTTCCTGTTTCATATTGTCGCGGGTCAGCACTGTTTGGGTTTTATTTGACAGCTACGTTCTGTTGTTCCAGGCGGCAGCGTTACGGTTGCCATGGTTACAGGGCGACGCTCTCTCTCTCTGCGACTGTGTGCTTCCTGGGTGAGAGAGCGCCTTTTCGTTGTTGTTGTTGTGCTAAGCTAACAGGCAGAATGCTACAGGTATAGCTCTAAAGAATGTAGCATCATGGGCAGTGTAGTCCGTGTTGCAGGGAGAATGCACTGCCATACACGTTATGTGTCTGTGAGCGAGGAGGGAGAAAAAGGGGAGTGGAAAGGTACGAGTTGTCATTGAGCAGAAACGGGAGCTGGAAGCATGTAAATATAATAATAACCACTGCAGCCAAGAAGAGAGCCTGACGAGCCCAGTTGTAAGTAAGCTATTAAGACTCGACTGTACACCGTGTTCCTGTTTTCCTCCGAAACAATAAGTTCCGTTGGAGCCTTTCAACGCCTCTCTCTGTCTCTCGCTAGCAAAGTTGACCCACACAACAAAGTAAAGCTATTTTTCAGCTACGAGCCGACAGGGACCCCGCCGTATTAGTCAGAGGTCCCTTTACTACAGTTCAGAGTCGCGGACCTTCAGTAACAGTAATAAATCACACAGCAATAGTACATTCACGTTGTTGTAAAAAGCACGATAATATATTAAGTAATCCAAAGTATTCAGAATATGTTACTGTCATTGAGTAACGTAACGGAATACGTTACAGAATACATTTTGGGGCATGTATTCTGTATTCTGTAATGGAATACATTTTAAAAGTAACCTTCCCAACACTGCCCATAACAACCAAACAAATAAAAACCCAGTGATCATCAAAATTCAATACATTCAATTATGGCTCCTACAGTCCATTTAAGTGCAGATCAGCAAACTGTGAGCGGTAAACTTTGAGTCTCCATCGCTCTGCTCTCTGCTGGGAAACTGTTGAACCAAACCAACACATAAGTTGCAATGAAGTGAAAATTCTTTGAAGCTTTGTGGAGTTGAGGGGACCGAAGCATTTTAGCAGTCATGCGATGAACTTGAACCTCAGTCCCATCAGATATAATTTACTCTCAGTCTCCTCTTCAAGACAGGCAGAAATATTTCTAACTGGAAACATTATTCAAATAATCCGTCAAAAATATAACACGAATCAACACAGTGGCCATTTCCATGGTGAGGAATGAAGAGAAACAGCTCCTAAAGCAACATATGTGACTCTCCATCCACCCTCTTGTCTTCCAGGTGCAGCCATCGGAGGCATCTACAGCTGGAAGACCAGTGACGATTTCAAGCCTCTGCCTCAGATCCTGCGCGAGATGCCTCCTGCTCAATTGGACGAGCTCCTTAAATCAGTCATGGCTATTTTAGTTCATCTGAAATGGGAAACTGTAGAGGGCCTCATTGATTATGTGATGAAAGACATTCCTCTCAAGAAAGCAATCATTGATGAGTTAAAGCGCAGGGTGAAAACTTTAACCTGAGAACAGGTGTGCCGTGAGTTCTGGCTGCCTGCAGACTTTTCATGACAGTCAGGTCTCTGTGAATAAAGAGGTTTCATGTTGAACCCTGAAGCACACAGAGGAGAGAAAATCTTTCTTCATCTTTTTCAAATAAAACAAACTGATGAGCCTTTTTGTGTTTCCACAAATGTTCGCATTATAATGATTGAAGGTGCAGCGCTGCACGTGTACATTATGGATGTACACGTGCAGCCGACGATGATGCTGAAAGACCCGATGAAGTGATACAAGCTGCCGGTTCAGTTTAAGATCTACTTGAAACTGTAGGTAGAGTAGGTTGAAATCAAAGTCACGCACATACTGAACAAAATGACTTTGGGAGTTATAATTCGAGTACCATCTGCAAATTTATTTATTTCATATTTTTGTATTCGTGATAAAACTTGTCACATTTGTTTAACGCAGCATGACAGTTACATGGAAATAACATTTTCTTTTCTGTCTTTGTGACTCAAAATTTCATGTTAAAAGTTTCTCTACATGCGGGGGTGTCGTACCACGGTGGCTATCCCCGACGGGATCTAGCACGCGCTGGGCAGGGAGAGTGGACCCAGCTGACTCCGCCTCCATTACAACCAACTAGAGGTGGAAGTGACGTTTGACTTTAGTGAAAAGGTGAAAGATGAGTGTCGTTACACTGTGGTTCAGTCTGTGGGTTACAACAGAAAATTACACATTTATTGTTCTCACCTGTTATCGGACGGGATAAATTAAAAAACAAAAACAGGACAGTTTGGCTGATAATTATTTGGATCCCACTGAAACTGTCTAAACCAGCGGTGCCCAACCTTTTTTGCATTACGGACCGGTTTAAATCCGACAGTATTTTCACAGACCGGCCTTTAAGGTGTCGCGGATAAATACAACAAAATAAAACCAGTACCGGTACCAAAAAAGAAGATTTATTCATAACACACGTGAAAAGACCCAGGGAACCAAGTTAATGATAAAAACGATAAAAACCTTAAAAACCATAGCCAACCAAGTTCAGCTTTCGTGGCCCGGTCCATGGCCTGGGGGTTGGGGACTGCAGCTCCAAAGAGCTCCAAAACTTCAGGAGTAGTTAGTCACTATAAGAAGTGTTTGTTAACTGAAAATCAAGAATGATGGATGCCATTTGTCCCTGATTTGGAAAGCCCAGTGCATGCTCGCAACGCATGGGAAACAAATCCTGTCAGGGATACTTAGCGTGGAACGACACGGGCACAGCTTGGAGGCTCAGCATGACCTTGAAACTTTCAACTAACCACACCAAAGTAAGCCGAGCTATGTCAAAGCTCGCAAACCCCCCAAAATTCCTTCAGAGGAACAACAACATGAAGGTGCTACTAACAGGATGGTGGAACTGAAGGTAGCGTTAAGAGAGTTGAGGACGCTTGGCTCGCAGTTTAAGTCCAGCATTGACAGCATTGGTAAAATGGGTGAGATGACCACCTGTGTCACAACACACCAGTTTGAGAGATCGAGCAGAAAGTAGAGCGCCGCCGCCTGCAGACAGAAGAACCTGAAGAACGTCTGGAGAGCAGCAGTGGCGAATTAGCAAAAGCAATGGAGCAAACTGCCTGGTCGAGGTGTGGCATGAACCGAATCCTGGAAAAGTGGAATACTCGTGTCACTATAGTACATTAAAAACTTGCTCCCCCATAGATTACTTCCCTGTGTCAAGAGAGCTGTTATCACAAATGAAAAACTGCTGGCACAGCTGTATAGTTATAAGTGACCATGGTCCTGTCTGTTAGCATTTACGGGTGGGTGGCTGTGGCTCAGGTGGAAGAGCAGATCATCTACTGATTAGAAGGCTGGTGGTTCGATCCTTGGCTTCCCCGGTCTGCATGTCAGATATCCTTGGGCAAGATACTGACCCCAAGCTGCCCTCTGATGCGCTCATCGGACTGTGACTGTAGATGAGTTTGCACTTGTGAATGCATGAATGAGGCATGTTGTATAGAGCGCTTTGAGTACTCCAGGAGAGCAGAAAAGCACTCTATAAGAATCAGACCATTTATATAGACGGAACAAAACGCTGAATTTATTACATACGTTAAAACCAGAACAGCATCGATTTTGGATCAAATACTGGCCAAACTAGTACCAACATAAGCTGGGAGGAGAGGAGAATTAATCAGCTTTACAAGCTCCAACATTTAAAGAGAAAAAATGAAATGGAAATTTCAGGAAAACAGATTAAACTCTTGGAACTTCAGCTTATTAAAAATAAAGACTACAACTACTCAAATCAACTTACTTCTTTTGACAGCAAAATATAACAAGTTACCCACTGACAAAGCGGAGAAAAAGCTCGCTCTGGCTCAAAACATCTTATTACAATCAAGGAGAAAAGGCTGGCAATGGGCACGGAGAACTCAGACATCACAGTCTGAGACAGCAATTAGGATAATTCTTCAGGAAACCTAATAATAGACCCCCTAGAAACTTACAGTAGTTTTAAGGAACACCACACAGATCAGAATGTCTCAATTTGACCAAAACACATTTATCAGTCATTTGCAATTTCACACAATGATGATGAAAATTTTTTTTATTTATACAGCACCAAATCACAGCAGCAGTCTCCTCAAGGTGCTTTATACTGAAAACCCCCAACAATCATATGAGCCCATGAAAGCACTTTGGCGACAGTGGGAAGGAAAAACTCCCTTTTAACAGGAAGAAACCTCCGGCAGAACCAGGCTCAGGGAGGGGCGGGGCCATCTGCTGTGATTGGTTGGGGTGAGAGAAGGAAGACAGGATAAAGACATGCTGTGGAAGAGAGACAGAGATTAATAACAGGTATGATTCAATGCAGAGAGGTCTGTTAATACATAGTGAGTGAAGAAGAAACACCCAGTGCATCATGGGAATCCCCGGCAGCCTACGTCTATTGCAGCATAACTAAGGGAGGATTCAGGGTCACCTGGTCCAGCCCTAACTATATGCTTTAGCAAAAAGGAAAGTTTGAAGCCTAATCTTGAAAGTAGAGATAGTGTCTGTCTCCTGAATCCAAACTGGAAGCTGGTTCCACAGAAGAGGGGCCTGAAAACTGAAGGCTCTGCCTCCCATTCTACTTTTAAGAAAGCAGTCTTACATAAGGTGGAAAGATTAAATCTAGTTATAAAAACCCTTTTTATCAGTTCAACATAGGACTTAATTATCCAACCACTGATGTTAAATCAACTGACAAACTATGACCGTTTATTGAAGTAAGTCAAAGAAACACCTGAGCAATGGATAACTATGCCCATATCACCGATCAATGTTAAAATGTTAATGTCCAAAATGTTTAAAACAAACAAAAACCCCACTAGTGACAGGTGGTATAAAGCCCACCACCCCTGTATCTCTTGGTCTCCCCAGTATGGACAAATACAGTTTGGACGTCAGCAGGAAGATCGGGTGGTGGCTTTAAAATATGGTTTGAGAGGAGCGTGAGGAGGATAGGTCTTTATCTAAATGGCAGCTTTCTAACATTTAATCAACGTTGTCAAACTTATAACAACACTAAAAAGATATTTTTTTTAAAATTACAGTTAAGACACTTGATTTGATCTAAACATATGCCTTCAACACCACTATCCAATCTCACACTCCGTAAGAAAAACCCCACCATCGATCAGTTGGAGGCGTGGAGACGGGATATTCTGGAAAACATACAAGAAACAAAGGCTCGTTTAAAATCTCACAAACAGCCAGAGTCCAGAGAGTCTGGAATCCGAGACATTCCAGACTCATGTTGGAGACTTTCAGGAGAAAAAGGCTTCTTCACTCTGTATGGGACCGGTCAACACTGAAGAAACACTGGAAGACGTTAAAGTATAGTTAGGGCTGGATCAGGTGACCCCGAATCCTCCTTTAGGTGTAGGCTGCTGGGGGATTCCCATGATGCACTGGGTGTTTCTTCTTCACTCACTATGTGTTAACAGACCTCTCTGCATTGAATCATATCTGCTATTAACCTCTGTCTCTCTTCCACAGCATGTCTTTATCCTGTCTTCCTTCTCTCACCCCAACCAATCGCAGCAGATGGCCCCGCCCCTCCCTGAGCCTGGTTCTGCTGGAGGTTTCTTCCTGTTAAAAGGGAGTTTTTCCTTCCCACTGTCGCCAAAGTGCTGCTCATAGTGGGTCATATGATTGTTGGGTTTTCTCTGTATGTATTATTGCAGGGTCGACCTTACAGTATAAGCACCTTGAGACGACTGTTGTGATTTGTCTCTGTCATCCAGACTAAATCTAATATTGTTGGTATGCAGGCACCTTATGAAAACTGTGCTATAAGTGTATAACCTAACAGCATTATGTTTAACTCAAAGGAGGAAGGAGGATGACGATCCTGTCGTGGAGAAAAATGTATTTGCTGTCAACAGAAGTTACTGTTTGAAGCCGTAAACCATGTATTGCACGGCTGGTTTCATATAAATCATTGTGTAAATCCATGTTGTGGTTTAAGAAAAACTAACAAAAATGTTTAAAACATGCTTTATTTTCACATTATTGAGAAACTCTACACATCATTCACTATTCGTCTGTTATGTGACGTTTTTATTAGTGTAGAATTTAAGACAGAAAATTCCTTTTCATGGTAAGAAAAAAGAAATCAGATATTCATGTACAAATCTGAGGCAATTATATGAGTGCTGCGAAGTTTCAGCTTCATTTCTAAAAACACTTTTGAAGGTTTGAAAACATTTTATTATTTTTATTCAAAGTGAAGCGAGATCGAGTTACCAGGAGGCTTTTTTTCCTTTTTGAATAAAAACAGCAGATTTCAGGTTATTAGTTTGTAAAATATGTTTATTTGTAAAAACACATTTGGATGTTGAAATGACATCACAGTGACATCAGCAGCCGTTTCTTCTGCTTCGATGGCGTGCGATCCTTCAGCGAGGCACACGTGACTGAGCGCGAGCGTCCGTCAGGAGCGACGACGGATTTTAAAGACGTAAAGTTCAGGAAACGCGACGAGCGCCTGCTTCGGCCTGAGCCGCCACACGGAGCTTCAACGGGTCGCAAAACTTCGTCTACAGATTAGCTTCAGGACAGAAACTGAGAGGACGTCCAGCTACGACGGCGAGAGCTGGAAGCCACAGCGTGAGGTCAGACCTTAAAGT